CATCCGGTTTCTTACTTCCTTGTCTAGCGGTTTTCTGAGCCAGAAGTGCATAAACCTTGCCAAATGCTCAGGTGGTGACCATTCTTCCGAACGGGGGTGCCGGATGTTTCTTGGGTCGAACATTTGGAGGCCCGAATTGTCGAGGAAAATCTCCGAGCCCTCCTGTGGGTTATCAATGGATGTTGCCATGGAGTCCTGGGGCTTACCCAGACCCTGTTCCCTTATGAAGTAAGGGTCAGAGTTGGCCGTGGAATCCCTGTCGGAGTCCCCCTGGTCAGAGGCTGCCGCCTGCCATTCATTTAGCACAGCCAGTGCCTGAGTGGGTTCTACATCTTCCTCACCTGAGGAAAGTTGTGTGGCATCGTGGGTAGCATGAACCGTGGCTTTCCTGCGATCAGCAGGGGCTTTCCCTTTAGCCTTGCGTGGGGTTACATTGCCCTTCCAATGGCGTTTTCGCCGTTGGGAGTGTTCCCTGGAAGAGTCAGAGTCTTCGGAGTCCGCCTTGTAATGAACCCGTTTAGAGGTGGGCCTGGGAACCTCAGGGTTTGTTTGGAGCGACTTGGAAGCGGCTTGTTCCATGGCTGCAGCCACGGCTGCTGTTATCATGGCCTGGAGGTCTGGGGTTTGTGATTCCTCCATTATGAGGAGTGAGGATTCGGGGCTCACCCAGTAAATTGCGTGAGGGCACTAGGCACGATTAATGGAGAGGCCTGGGACCGGGGTGGTATGGTATCAGGACTAAATAACCTGTGGTTAGAGACCGGTAGGTCGTAGAGGAGAGGGCTGATTCACTGGGGCTCACCCAGGTGATCAGAACCTGCATAAACAGGACCGTTTAGCAGCATAAAATGGGGGCTCACCCCGGCCAGAATAAGGTGCAGACCAACTGGCTAAACCAACCCCAAGTGTAAGGCACTAACCTGGTCCCACTGAGTGAAAAAAGGGTAAGGCTTTTCGATTGCTTGTTGGAATAGCAGGAGCAGAAAAATCAGGCAGTGTCTATCTCTTTAAGATGGCCGCCAGACTGACAGGCTCAGTGTGTGGAGAATAGTACCTCCCCCAGTTTGGGCGGCAAACTGTAAGCTTGCCATTCGCATAAAACTGCCGAACGTGAATAGAAGATCTATGCGAACTGCCGAACGTGCGAATAGAAATAGATGCGAACGTTTAAAAAAGGCGATCGCGTCAAACTGCCGAACGAAGCGTTCGGTAGTTAGAAACGAATAGTCAATGTGCGGTCGCGCGGGCATTCGAGTAAAACAGGCGAATGCGCAAAACTACTGAATAACGCGTTCGGTAAAAGAACAGAAAAACTGTTAAAGAGAAACAGAGAAAATGGAGGGAAAGTACAGACGGCGGGAAAGCCGTGAAAGACAGTTAGGGAGCCAGACAGGGTCCCCTGGTATACAGGGGTTAAGAGCATTAATAGGGTAAATATATAAAGGTACAGTGAAAACAAAAGGCATGTAAATGAAAAGTGTATGTAGAATAGATAATTCAAAATTTGGTACTTAACTTGTGATGGAGCAGCAAAGAAAGAGGAAATGATGTCATAGGTCTCACCTCTTATACCCTATTCTACGTTGTGATTGGTTAAAAGTTTTGTCACTCATTTCTTTGCTGCTATGGAGATAGTAAAGAAAAATTATGCAAAATACGAAGCCTCCTGTCATGTGATAAAATTACAAGTGTTTAATGATATCAGAAGAAATGCATTAAAATAAAGAAACCAACCAGTGAGTTCAGTGAAGGGCTATTTCAGTGTAGTTTAAAGGAACAATTTTATCTAAATAGTTCCCTACACTACATAAAAATGTCATGCTTGTCTCAATTATTTACTGACAGTAATTACTAACATGGCTGTCACTGTCATTGACTAGCTAGTGATTATCATCTGTTTTCATGCTACAAAACTTAACATTTAACGGTTATCTGCCAAAACTTTAAGCATCTTCCATAGCAATTAAAAGGAAATGCTAAAAAGTAGCACCTGGTTTCCATGTTGGATGGTAAAAATTACTACTTGTTGCTTTGTAATTAGCTGGATCATCTGGCTGTAAAAATAGAAAAAACAAATTAATGGCTCCACAGTTTTGCTATATTGTGTATTTGTAAAAAAATTATCCATATTTAAGAATATTTGATCTCTAAAGCATAGTTGTATGCAAGATGTATGTTGTTCTCAATAAACAATGGGAAATGTAGAAAGTTGGATATATGAAAACATTGAGGGCAACTTGCTCAGACAATTGCAGATAAAGTGTGCATGATTCGAATAAACCTTTTAAAGTGTCCTTGTGAAATTCTGATGGTGACTAATTGCAAAATGCACATTTTTCTTGCTGTACATTCAATTTGCTAAATAGTAGATTCCAACCAGTAGTTGGAAGCAGTGAAAGTAGTCGCAAGTAGCATGCATATATTAACTACTTCACTGGACTTAAGGGCTTAACATAAATAGTACCATGACATAAAATTGAAACATGGGATGTACATTTTTTGCAATTTTTATTTTTAATTTATTCATTTTGCAGAAATGTTTGGGGAATGAAACCCTTTTGACTTTATGAACAGCAGATGTGACTAAAATAGATAAATACAAATGTCCTTCAATACATGTATTTGTAAATACCCGGAATCCATTAGTAGTTGTACAACTTACTGAAACTGGAAACAAAATGTAAACAGAATGTCTGCATTTGTGCATAATGTCCATATACAGTAAATACAGTTAAACTATGAATTTCTAAAATAAAGATGCTTAGCTTCAAATATTTATTATGGGCAAATGCAAATATTATGAGTTTTAGACTGAAATGTTGTATTTACTAAACTTTGTACTTTGTCTTTAAGAGATATTACAAACTGACAAGATGTTAGAATTGGAACATATTGTTTTTCATAACTGTTTCTTTAAGCAATAACCCCAGTGCATAATATGTTTGCGCCATTTTGTCCCAGACGAATTACAATAACTACCGTGTTTCTCCGAAAATAAGACCGGGTCTTATATTAATTTTAGTCACAAAAAACACACTAGGGCTTATTTTCAGGGTAGGGCTTATTTATTTACGGTACCGGTATGTACATTGAACCCCCCCTTTAATTAATCCACCCCCCCTTTAATAAATCCACCCCCCTCTAATTAATCCACCCCCTCTAATTAATCCAGCCCACCCTTTAATTAATTCACCACCCCTTTAATTAATTCACCCCCTCTAATTAATTCCAGCCCACCCTTTAATTAATTCACCCCCCTCTAATTAATCCCCTTTAATTAATTCACCACCCCTTTAATTAATTCACCACCCCTTTAATTAATTCACCACCCCTTTAATTAATTCACCACCCCTTTAATTAATTCACCCCCTCTAATTAATCCAGTCCACCCTTTAATTAATTCACCCCCCTTTAATTAATTCACCCCCTCTAATTAATCCAGCCCACCCTTTAATTAATTCACCCCCCTTTAATTAATCCAGCCCACCCTTTAATTAATTCACCCCCTCTAATTAACCAGCCCACCCTTTAATTAATTCACCCCCTTTAATTCACCACCCCTTTAATTAATTCACCCCCCTCTAATTAATCCAGCCCACCCTTTAATTAATTCACCCCCCTCTAATTAATCCAGCCCACCCTTTAATTAATTCACCCCCCCCCACCCCCTTTAATTAATTCAATTAATCCCAGACATAAAATATCTAGCGGTACTCACATTTCAAAGATTCCTTGCCGAGTCCGACCACTGGGAGCCTCACCGCCCGGAAATGGATCCTTCCGCTGAAGATCCGTGAAGGCAGACTGACGGCGCTGCAAAATGTCATCATCACGTTGCGTGACGCTCCTCCTACAGCAGAAGAAGGAAGTCTCGCCGCAAAGGTACAATGCCTAGGTCTTATTTTCGGGGTAGGGCTTATATTGCAGCCCACCCCGAAAATCCGACTAGGGCTTATTTTCGGGGTAGGGTTTATTTTCGGGGAAACACGGTATTATGCATAAACAAGCTTCAAGGCTATACTACGACTCTTTCAGTACACAATATACTGTTGTAACCCCAAGTTAATGGAACTTCCCCAAATCCGGGAATCTCCCATGACTGTGCACTTACGACTTAGTATAAACAACAGATAAGCTATTCAGACTTTAAGATGCCATCTTGAACTAAGTCAGGAAAATTTCCATGACGTATACACCCTTTAGTTATGGCCTTGTATGTTTGCCAAGTTAAGGGAGGTCCTAAAATAAATAAAGTAGAAGTGTTACTTTTATATATATACATATATATGAACTACGGTAACCCAAAAATGGAGACACCTAAGGTATAAATAGGTGTACTTTTAAATGTTAAGTCACAGAGGAGAGACTTGGAGACAGACGATGCTCCATCTTAAAATGACAGAGAGGCTGACATGATGACATGTTCAGAAGGGTATGTTACCCTATTAATGATATTTGCAAGCATTTAGTTTAATCTTATAAACTCTGCTATAATGGATTTTATATTTATATTTTTATATAATAAATATCCAAGAAGACAAAACTATTGCTTCCAAGACAATCCTTATTTTATATTGTATTCTCAATTATTTATATATGTTAAATAGAGGATCTCTTACTAACTATATAAAATTATGGCTAAGATATCTGTATGGTTAGCCCTACTAAATTCTATGCTTTAAGACGTTATAGTGGTAAATAAGGGAACCACCTGCTGTTACAATATTATGTGACATATGAGGCATCTATCCATATTACAAATAATCAAAGCCACCATGACAGTCGATCAACAATTTTAAAGAGATTTTCAAGCAGTTATATTGGATCAAAACAAAATAACCACCAAACTACCTTACAGATGGATTTCTCACAAATAAATCTGGATATAGGCCAAAGCATAACTGCACATGTAGCATGTTTAATTAGTAGTTTCAGAATGTGATTTTTGTAGTTTTTAAAAAAGTACAAATATGCCCTCATAATTCTGCTACAACTTCCTTCCTGTACAGTTGTTGGTCCCTTCTTCTTGCTCTATGATGATCCACCACTCATATTGCCCCTGTCCTACGTAGGATAATTGGAAACAGTCTATCTGTTCTGCTTGACAAAGACCGTGTAGGTTCAATACATTTGTCTTATTGTATCCTGGAGTGCCTGGACTTCTCTTTTATTTCTCTTCATCAAGTATTTGGTTCCTGGTACTGGGACTGGTCTGGTTGCACTCGTATACATTTCAAATGGGATTGAGTGCAGTTCCACATTTCTGTTATATGTATCTGTTTTAGTGACATTTATTGATCTCCGGCACAGTATGCTGCATCATGATGCTGGGGCATCATCAGATAAGGTTGCCATAACCATGAAGCTGGCATTGATCTATGCCCAAAGTCATCTGCTGGGCAATGCATTCATGTTACAAACTAAGCATGTCCCTGTCATATAATTTTATTGCAGATCGCTAGAAAAATGTGCTTTCATTCTAAAAGTAAATGTCATCACTTGCATTTATATTTATTATTTGAGCATGTGTGAGTGTGGCTATTTGTAAGTATCTATGTGAGCCGTAAACAATGACTCCAAAGAGCAAGTGTCATAAAAGAGCTTCGACACAAAAATCAACTGTGATTATCAAAGCAATT